AACCCTGCGCACCCCCCCCTCTCCAGCCCCCTCGTGGCCGCACCCTACAAGCTGCGCTACATCACGCAGTACGAGTACGCAGAGGGGGTGGAGCCACCACAGGTGGGGCCCGGGTACAGGCGCCGCCCGCGACTCGCCCCACTCAGCCAGCCGGGCAATCAACCTCGCATTTGGCAAGCGCAGCCCTGCCTTCACCCCGAGCCAACACCCCACCCCTTCAGCCCTATGCTCAACGCCTCGTTCTTGCTGCTTAAACCAACCCCACATCCCCGTAGCCCTGGCCCCAAAACCAAAACTAGGTTCTGGAGCTTTTGCGTGTCTTCTCTCAACATAAGATCCCCCCATGTCCCCTTTGCTGCCCCTGCATCGGGCCCCCCACCCAGCCCCCTGAGGAGCCCACTGATGGGGACCTGGAGCCTCACGAGTGGCTGGGCCTCATTAATAGGGGGCCGCTGCCGTACACAGAAGTGGCCATGCGCGGACAGGTGGGCGGCTGGTGCGGCAGGGCCGGGGAGGGGGCGGGAGCTGGAGGAGGGGTGCCTCGGCACGGCGACGGCGACGTCCGGGATGAGGGAGTGATTGAGGATGGAGTGCGGCGCCCTGCCGCAGGACACATGCATGCGTTTGTCACAAGGTCTTGTCAGCAGAAGCAAACGGCACTGTTTTTTTTTGGGGGGGGAAGATGAAGATGGAGTAGAGCTGGGCCCATCATGACTGCCAACGAGGCGCCTCGCGCCGCCGCGCCGCCGCTGCCGCCGTGCCGCAGCCGGTGGTGGTGGCGCGCGACGTGCTGAGTGTGGTGGTGGAGTGCGGCGACTGGACGGGCTGCGACGACGAGGGCTGCGTGCAGCGAGTGTCGCAGCAGGGGCTGCTGTACCGCCTTGAGGTGTTCAAGACCAGGTGGGGGGTTGGGTTTAAGGAGTGTGAGGGGGATGTGCATGTGTGTGTGTGGGGCTGGGGGTGTTGGGCGTGCATTTAGGAGCCGTCGAGCACAGCGCTGTGCAGAACACTGTGTCTCGCAGCGGCGCCGGGCCGTGGCCAGCGACAGAACTGAATGCCGACGAGGCGCCGCGATTGGCAGCGTGCTCTGCCATCACTCGTCGCCTGTTGATTGCACTGTTGGGGCGGCACTGCATCCTTGGTGTTGAACATTGGCAGTGAAAAGCCCTGGCAGTGCCGTGGGCGTGCCGCAGCCGTCGCCGAGGGGCAACTCAACAGCCGCAGCCGTTGCTCGCTGCAGCAATGCGCCCGGCAGCAGCCCGCCCCCGGCCTCCGCCGCAACACTCGCTCCGCCCCTGGTTCTCCCCGGCGCGCAGGACTCGCGGGTGGGGCGTCCGCAGCTGGGACACCATCCCCTGCGGCGCGCTGGTATGCGTGTTCTGGGGGACTGTATTCAGGTGGGGGCAACGCTAGGGGGCGTGGGGGGGCCGGCGGGTGCAGCTTGGAAGAGGGGGTCGTCACAGGCATGCTGGACTGGGTGATGTGGCGCCATTGGACCTTTTGCGGCGCACAGGCGGCTGCTGGGGGGCCGGCTGATGATGGTCCTGCGCAGCCGGCCCCGCGGTTGTTGCCCGTCCCCATCTCACTCTGTATTCTGGTCCCTTCTGGCGGCAACCATGGTCTTGGAGAGCAAAGCTATCATCTATGACTTTCCCCCACACCCTGACCCGGCCGCTGCCACCCTCGGCATACTCACACTCACACCCTCAGCTGCATTCTCGCCCCTGTGCCGAATGGCGACGGGTGCACGCGCCGCGTCCCGCCGGCGCTCTCCTCTGTTCCTGCCGCCTCGCAATCAGCAACCCTCGCACCGCCACCGCCCTCTCCCGTCGCCAGGCACAAGCTGGCCGGCACGCTGCCGTTTGACGACGACACCTACTTTTTTGACTGCGCGGTGCGGCTGGACGTGGGGGACGACCACAGGGCGCTGCCGGCCGGGCAGCAGCGCACCGACATCGAATCAGAGTGAGGGCCGCCAGCGAGCCGGGCTCCTCCTGTGCAAGGGGCTGGTCGGGAGTGAAAGAGGGGACTGGGGCGGGCCGCGCGACGGCAGGGCGCGCGTCGGCGACGGGCGGCGGGGACAAGCAAGGGCGGCCGGCACGGGCGCGGAGCTGCGCGCGTCGCGTCTCTGAAGACAGGAGGGGTCCGCACAACAGGCGTTCGGACCGCAGACCGTCTGCTGCAGTGCCATTTTGATTATTCGCTTCATCACGGCCCCGGCCCCTCTGCATCCCCTCATTTTCCTTCCTGTCCTGTCCCGTGGCTCCTCCTTGCCTGCCCACACCTCGAACCGCCCCCCGAAACCCCCGACACCTCAAAAACCCCAAAACTTGCAGGTATGCAATCGACGCGAAGCACGCGGGCGGCGTGGCCCGCTTCATCAACCACAGCTGCAACCCCAACCTGTACGTGCAGCCGCTGTGCGTGGGCCACGCAGACCGCACCATGTGCGGCATCGGCCTCTTCGCCGGCATGCCCATCCCTGCGTGGACCGAGCTGACGTGAGCGCGTGGTGTTCTCGAGGGGGGGGGGGGGCCGGGAGGGTCGCCGACCAGGGGCGCGTGCGCCGAAGCTTCCCGGCCAGAGCTCGGCTGGAGGCTCTGTGCGGGTGCATCATGTTGGTTTGCGGGAAGCCATGGGATCGGGACCCCCTGTGCTCCTCCAGCTGCGCCGCCTGTCCGTGCCAGACCCCCAACCGAGCACCGACCCGGCGTCACTCGCCTTTTCCCCCATCGCCGCCCGATGGCCTCGTCAGCTATGACTACGGGGAGCAGTACATGCTCAACAACGACGCCATGGAGGACGGATGCTGCTGCGGCGCCCCCTGCTGCCGCAAGCCGCGCGAGGGCCTCGCGGGCGATGGCGTGCCCGCGGCGTCGCCGGCGCCGCGCTCTGTGGCGAAGGGGGGCGCGGCTGGGAAAGGCCGCGCGCCCAAGGCGGCTGGCGGCGCGTGCTGCAGTGGGGAGGCGGGGGCCTGCACTTGAAGCAGGAGCTGCAGCAAAGGCGATGCTCCCGGGGTGGGACCGGAGGTATGGAGGCCTGCAGGGTTGCTGGCCTGCGGTTGTGCAAAAAAAACTCAAGTGAAGCTGGTGGTAGATCAGTGGACAAAGCAATTTCAAGGGCTGGGCCGTGTGCTGTCATGCACTGCCACCGCTGTGTGGCTGGCGGCGGTCTTACAAATCATGAGAATCATCACAGGGCTGGCAGTGGTTGGCACCACCGCCTGCCCACTGCAGCCATGCATCTGCGGCTTATTTTAGGATTGACCTGGGTTCACGAATCACTAGCTTGCCGAACACCTTCTGGCTCCGCATAGCTGCCTCATGCCTCACGCGCACCCCCTAGGCCGGTGGCCCACCCGTTCCAGACAGTTTTCCTGGCATGTTGCTACAGGCGGCATCTTGTGCCGGAGCCGCGTTGTGCAAGCGTGGGTGCCATGGCATCCCGGCCCAGGGCCTGTTCTCAAGACATGGAAGTCCGGTGATGTATGGTGCTGGCCCCGTTGCCCCGAGTAACTCTGCCTCCGCGAGCGACTTTCCAGGGGGGGCCAGGGGGGCCAAAGGTGCCGCATGCGGCGGCGTGTGCGCCGCGGGCAGGTAGCATGGCGCGCATTCTTGTGCCGGGCGGGGTCACTGGAGGCTGCGGCATCGGGGGGCTGCGAGCCGCACAGAGCGTGACTTGTGGGGAAGGTCTGTATCAATGGAACGTGGGTGAAATATTGTGTGACGAACAGGGCGCTGCGCAGCCTCGTCCCGAGCGTGTCTGAAGCAGGACGGCCGCGGTGCTGCCCCGCGGCTCGTTTAGTGTAGTGCCGTGGCTGGCAACCATCAACAGCTCACTGCAGGTGGTCGTTCTGCAGACACAAGGAACAGTGGATCCCTGCGCTTACTTGAAATCGCCCCGAGCTCGCGCGCCAGACCCGCAGCGCGACCCACCACTGCACTGCGTGAGCCCTGCGTGCCATGCCCGGGATGACAGATGTTCGCAATGACAGATGTTCGCGCTGAACATCACTCTTTTGCCGCTCAGCCTCATGCCCCCTTCTTTATAAGGCGCATCTGGCGTTCAATCAAGCATCGAAGTTGTTCGTGAATTGCTTGAACACACCACTTACTACAAATCAGCCACCGACGAAGCAAACACCAAGATCATCTGCGCAGCCTCTAACTGTTTCGTACAGCGACACAGCGAGTGAGTGAATCCACATTGTTTTAGTCATACTCTGCATTATTACACTCTCGAGTAGGCTGCGCCAGCACGTTGCACCACTGGCAGCACTGTCACCCACTCTACTGAGGTGGCATCAGCGCATCACCCTCTGTTACAGTGTCCCACGGCATGTCTCAACCCCACCGACCCTCCTCGTTCTCCCTAACCTACGTTCAGGCATCAGAATCACTATGTGGCGATCGTCAGCCTTCTTTGCGCTGACCATTGCATGTATCCTCGCGATGGCGCCCAACGCAGTCGCCGGCCCGTGCGACGCCGAATGCCGCCCTGGCAGCAGCACCTACTGCCTGGCCCGCATCGCCGGCACGTGCGCCTCCAAGGTCAACGCGGGCTGCAAGCAGAAACAGAACGAACCCTGCGACCTCTACGCCACCTCGGCATCCACTTGCGCGAACACGGCGCACTGCCCCGGCGGCGTCCTGCTGCTGCGCGATGGGAACGCCAACGCCGCCTTCCCAAAGTGGAAGGCGGTCCCTGACGTGCTGCACTCCGCCGCCGGGGCCCCCAGCGGCATTGAATCCATCGCAATGGGCACCACCCAGGGCCGCCCCTACGACGCCATCTTTGCCAAGGTGCGAAGCGGGGGAGCAGGGCGTTGCTTGCCGTTGGGGGCAGATGGAGTGGACCCTTTGCTGCATGCTGGTGTATGCAAGCATGGGTCCCTTGCCTTATGATGCTGCGGGTCTGGCG